AAGATATTGACCAATCAGCTGCACCAACTGAGCATGCCACCACCAGGGGCCAGATTCACGAAAGTACTTACGCAAACACTTACGAACCTGTACATCTTTTCTCAATCTTTGGCGGCTTTTTTTCCAATTATTAAACAGAGCTTCGATGCACCAGGAGGCTGTTTATAACAATAACAACAGTTGAATGGGAAGTTTTATGCTTGTAAACTGTTTAATAAATGTAACCAAAGCCGTCAAAGATTGAAGAAAGATGTACACGTTCGTAAGTGCTTTTGTGAATCTGGACCCAGGTGTCCCGGCAACCTAAATTGAAAACACATGTAGTTGGCCTGAATACATACAGTGTTGAGTAGATGGGACTCCACAGCTGGGAAAGCTGTGGAGTCTCCACTAACTCGTGGTCATACCCACTTTTGGGATGGGTTTCAGGAGTTAACCTCGAGGAAAAATCTGGAGCTGGAGCCCCTAAAGCAGTACGTTGTTGACTTCAATTTCGTTATGGCAGCTCCTGTGTAGGTGCTGGAACCATGCGTATTGGCGTTTGCCTTTCCATTGGACAATTTCAGCAATGTGGAGAGGGGGGACCGGATGCATGTGTAACAGCTTCTCCCCTATATAGACCTACCCTGGCTTTATGCCCTAGAGAGGAAGCTCCAGCCTCGACAACCAGAGAGCAAATCCATAGTCTCCCAAGACTGCAGAATGCCGAGTTGGGTACACCCCATCAGGGATATCGAAGACGGAACATTCCATTTCAGAGACATTGTCAAAATCCTGCAAGTTGCAGGTAAGTAGCCCCACAATAGCCTGCTGAGACATTGTTCCAATGTATCCTGAACACCTTCCCAAACTGCCCAAACAGCTGGGCCAACAGCCCATCTGGCATTCCAAACGAGGCTCCATGCATTGCCACGTTCGTTGTTTTCATATTTAGGTTGACCAATCCACACTAGAAAATGAAGGGACGACGACGTTTCTGTCCGTCTTGGACCATTCTCAAGTGAACTGTGCTTGGGGGAACCATTGTGAGAATGGTCCAGGACGGACCGAAAAGTCGTCGTCCCTTCATTTTCTAGTGTGTGGATTGGTCAACATACTTCAGCCACGTTATTGTGACTCGTCGCCTACATTTAGGTTGACCACCCATACTGTGCCCACTCCGTCAGGCATAGGTAATTAGTGTCCCTCACAACTGTCGATGAACGTCTAGAACACACCTTGCTATAGACATTTGACCACCACACGTAGGTTTCGAATGAGCTGGATGCCCATCACATCCACTAATTCGAGACGGACCACTTCCCTTAGCTCCATACCCACTGACATATGGTCCACCCACCAAGAAAACTCCAGCCATCAGTTTCACCGGAGGTAAGATGGCCCCATCCTCGAACAGTCACTCCCCGCACCAGCCGGGCCAAAAACAGGTCACGGAACAGCCACAGGACTCTCAGCTCCAAGCCTCTGCGCCAACTGGGAAGCAATATGTGAACACACCTGCCCCCTCTGGCAGCTGGCCGTTGAATCTCTGGAATTGGTGTGTTTGTGTGGTGGGGCCACCAGTGATGGTGTGACCTGTGGTGGGGCCCCAGTGGTGGTGTGACCTGTGGTGGGGCCACCAGTAGTGGTGTGACCTGTGGTGGGGCCACCAGTGATGGTGTGACCTGTGGTGGGGCCACCGGTAGTGGTGTGACCTGTGGTGGGGCCACCAGTGGTGGTGTGACCTGTGGTGGGGCCACCGGTAGTGGTGTGACCTGTGGTGGGCCACCAGTAGTGGTGTGACCTGTGGTGGGGCCACCGGTAGTGGTGTGACCTGTGGTGGGGCCACCAGTAGTGGTGTGACCTGTGGTGGTGCCACCAGTGGTGGTGTGACCTGTGGTGAGGCCCCCAGTGGTGGTGTGACCTGTGGTGGGGCCACCGGTAGTGGAGTGACCTGTGGTGGTGCCACCAGTGGTGGTGTGACCTGTGGTGAGGCCCCCAGTGGTTGTGTGACCTGTGGTGGGGCCCCCAGTGGTGGTGTGACCTGTGGTGGGGCCCCCAGTGGTGGTGTGACCTGTGGTGGGGCCACCAGTAGTGGTGTGACCTGTGGTGGGGCCACCAGTAGTGGTGTGACCTGTGGTGGGGCCACCGGTAGTGGTGTGACCTGTGGTGGGGCCACCAGTAGTGGTGTGACCTGTGGTGGGGCCACCAGTGGTGGTTCACCACCCAGGAGGAAGATGCCAATGAAGATTCGGTAATTTCCTGTGTGATATTGAGAGTTGTCGGGTGGTGAGCGCCGCACACCTGTAACTGAGAGTTGTCGGGTGGTGAGCGCCGCGCACCTGTAACTGAGAGTTGTCGGGTGGTGAGCGCCGCACACCTGTAACTGAGAGTTGTCGGGTGGTGAGCGCCGCGCACCTGTAACTGAGAGTTGTCGGGTGGTGAGCGCCGCACACCTGTAACTGAGAGTTGTCGGGTGGTGAGCGCCGCGCACCTGTAACTGAGAGTTGTCGGGTGGTGAGCGCCGCGCACCTGTAACTGAGAGTTGTCGGGTGGTGAGCGCCGCGCACCTGTAACTGAGAGTTGTCGGGTGGTGAGCGCCGCGCACCTGTAACTGAGAGTTGTCGGGTGGTGAGCGCCGCACACCTGTAACTGAGAGTTGTCGGGTGGTGAGCGCCGCGCACCTGTAACTGAGAGTTGTCGGGTGGTGAGCGCCGCACACCTGTAACTGAGAGTTGTACGGTGGTGAGCGCCGCACACCTGTAACTGAGAGTTGTCGGGTGGTGAGCGCCGCACACCTGTAACTGAGAGTTGTCGGGTGGTGAGCGCCGCACACCTGTAACTGAGAGTTGTCGGGTGGTGAGCGCCGCACACCTGTAACTGAGAGTTGTCGGGTGGTGAGCGCCGCACACCTGTAACTGAGAGTTGTCGGGTGGTGAGCGCCGCACACCTGTAACTGAGAGTTGTCGGGTGCTGAGCGCCGCACACCTGTAACTGAGAGTTGTCGGGTGCTGAGCGCCGCACACCTGTAACTGAGAGTTGTCGGGTGGTGAGCGCCGCACACCTGTAACTGAGAGTTGTCGGGTGCTGAGCGCCGCACACCTGTAACTGAGAGTTGTCGGGTGCTGAGCGCCGCACACCTGTAACTGAGAGTTGTCGGGTGCTGAGCGCCGCACACATGTAACTCATTTCAAATATATTAATAACAACTTCGAAAAGAAAAATAGTATGCTTATTGTGTACAGGAAATTGTATGAGAAAGATTCAAACCCGCACACTGAGCACTCTACTGCCATGTAGCAGTGACCTGACATGACCTGTGACCTGACATGACCAGTGACCTGGCATGACCAGTGACCTGGCATGACCAGTGACCTGACATGATCAGTGACCTGGCATGACCAGTGACCTGGCATGACCAGTGACCTGACATGATCAGTGACCTGGCATGACCAGTGACCTGGCATGACCAGTGACCTGACATGATCAGTGACCTGGCATGACCAGTGACCTGGCATGACCAGTGACCTGGCATGACCAGTGACCTGGCATGACCAGTGACCTGGCATGACCAGTGACCTGACATGATCAGTGACCTGGCATGACCAGTGACCTGGCATGACCAGTGACCTGGCATGACCAGTGACCTGACATGATCAGTGACCTGGCATGACCAGTGACCTGGCATGACCAGTGACCTGGCATGACCAGTGACCTGGCATGACCAGTGACCTGACATGACCAGTGACCTGACATGACCTGTGACCTGACATGACCTGTGACCTGACATGACCAGTGACCTGACATGACCAGTGACCTGACATGATCAGTGACCTGACATGACCTGTGACCTGACATGACCTGTGACCTGACATGACCAGTGACCTGACATGATCAGTGACCTGACATGACCTGTGACCTGACATGATCAGTGACCTGACATGATCAGTGACCTGACATGACCAGTGACCTGACATGACCAGTGACCTGACATGCCCAGTGACCTGACATGCCCAGTGACCTGACATGACCAGTGACCTGACATGACCAGTGACCTGACATGACCAGTGACCTGACATGACCAGTGACCTGACATGACCAGTGACCTGACATGACCTGTGACCTGACATGACCTGTGACCTGACATGACCAGTGACCTGACATGACCAGTGACCTGACATGACCAGTGACCTGACATGATCAGTGACCTGACATGACCTGTGACCTGACATGACCAGTGACCTGACATGACCAGTGACCTGACATGACCAGTGACCTGACATGATCAGTGACCTGACATGACCAGTGACCTGGCATGACCAGTGACCTGGCATGACCAGTGACCTGACATGACCAGTGACCTGACATGACCTGTGACCTGACATGACCAGTGACCTGACATGATCAGTGACCTGACATGATCAGTGACCTGACATGATCAGTGACCTGACATGATCAGTGACCTGACATGACCAGTGACCTGACATGATCAGTGACCTGACATGACCAGTGACCTGACATGACCAGTGACCTGACATGATCAGTGACCTGACATGATCAGTGACCTGTCATGACCAGTGACCTGACATGACCAGTGACCTGACATGATCAGTGACCTGACATGACCAGTGACCTGGCATGACCAGTGACCTGACATGACCAGTGACCTGACATGACCAGTGACCTGGCATGACCAGTGACCTGACATGATCAGTGACCTGGCATGACCAGTGACCTGACATGATCAGTGACCTGACATGACCTGTGACCTGACATGGTCCTTGAAGCGTCAAGGTGTCACACGTGTCATGCAGCAGCTGTGTCATGATGCAGCTGTGTCATGCTGCAGCTGTGTCATGCTGCAGCTGTGTCATGCTGCAGCTGTGGCATGCTGCAGCTGTGTCATGCTGCAGCTGTATGGGCCTCATGCTCAACCCAGTTGCCTGGCGGCGCAAGTTGCCATGCTCCATCGGTGCCATGCTCCAGCGGTGCCATGCTCCAGCGGTGCCATGCTGCCTTACCTGATGCTGTAGGACCTGTAGAAGTGGACCGGGGAGTGGGTCATCCACCTCTTCATCCACATGACCCTGGCCTGGCTGCCACAGTCCCAGGTGTTGCCACTGAGCTTGGCAACCTGTCAACCACAACAATGGTTACTAACCGGCAACAAATATCTTTCCTTATATTTAAAAAAAAATCTAGATACAAAAAAAAAAAATTACTTACACACAAATGAACCAGGCGACCGGAGGCCTATAATTAGGCCAGTCCCAGAGTTGAGGGGCATGAGATTAAGGACAATAATACGGTTATTAAATGATTCAGGGGAGCCATGATCACCACACACAAGGTATCTAAAGGGAATAGATAGGGCACACAACGACACACTGCTTAGCATTGGAATTTAAACACGAAAGAAACTTGTTTAGAGAGCGTAGTTAACAATTGGAATGGGCTGTGAGCGACGCGTTGATCGTCACACTACCTCTCGTTATCACCGTTAATAACGAAGACTTCAAATGTGCAGTAGCGTGTAAGAGAAGGCATTAGCGTAGCCAGAGTGTTAACTGTCCAATAACCTCGCTCAACGAGTCAATTACAGCTCCAGAGAATTTCTGCAGTGTAGTGAATATCAGGCCGAGCTCTGTACCGTGCCGTGGTGACAGTGGATATTACTGGTGTCGACGCCTCAGTGTCACTATTCCTTTATTAGTCTGTAAATAGTGAGGGGCCGTCTTCATCCGTGTCTTCACACCTCGCATATTTAACTTGACAAATATTAGACTGAACACTTTAGTGATATATTGGTGATTTTTATTAATATATGAAACCATATATTAATAAAATTAAATTTTTATTAATATATGACACCAGGGTTTGTCCATATAGGATGTTCCGTACGTTGATGTTTGTCTGACACACCTCTCTCCCTCTCACACACTCACGCACCTCTCTCTCTCTCTCTCTCTCTCTCTCTCTCTCTCTCTCTCTCTCTCTCTCTCTCTCTCTCTCTCTCTCTCTCTCTCTCTCTCTCTCTCTCTCTCTCTCTCTCACACACACACACACACACACGTACCTCTCTCTCTCTCACACACACACACGCACCTCTCTCTCTCTCACACACACACACACGTACCTCTCTCTCTCTCACACACACTCACGCACCCCCCCCCTCTCTCTCTCTCTCTCTCTCTCTCTCTCTCTCTCTCTCTCTCTCTCTCTCTCTCTCTCTCTTTCACACTCACACACACACAAACGTACCTCTCTCTCTCTCTCTCTCTCTCACACACACACGCACCTCTCTCTCTCTCTCTCTCTCTCACACACACACACGCACCTTTCTCTCTCTCACACACACACACACACACACACACGCACCTCTCTCTCTCTCTCTCTCTCTCTCTCTCTCTCTCTCTCTCTCTCTCTCTCTCTCCCTGCATATTGCTCATCATATGACTTTCATATCATGTTGGTTAAGTCGAAGTTGGCATAAAAATGTTGATTAACGTAAACTGAGTAAATCTGAGGACTTGACAGTGAAGATATAAGACACTCTACTAAGAACTGTTGGAACACATAAGGTAGAACACACAAGGTAGAACACACAGATGAACACGGATTGCAACTAATATATCTGTATATCTAACTGATCCACAGATAATAAAAGAGAATGTTTTCAGTGTCAGAGTAGTTAACAGATGGAATGTAATAGGCAGTGATGTGGTGGAGGCTTCACCACATCACTGCCTAATGCATCTACATACGGATCACCTGATGGAGGTCAATATCTGGATCACCATCATAGCCTCTCTCACCATCACGTCCACTACCTCACCATCATAGCCTCTCTCACCATCACATCCTCTACCTCACCATCACTAAGGCCTCCGTGGCCCTCATCTGCACAGCTCGCCTTTCATCTGGCGCCGTCCTCAAAGTCTAGCTTGTGACTGCCAGACGTATTCTGATTTGTTTTTCTAGTTTTACGTATTTTCACGCAGCATTTTTTAGGGTTATGTATATACATATGAATACAAAATGGATGCCATTTAAATGTTACGAACATACATTAATTAAAGGGCTTCCAGGTTAACGTTCGCAGAGATGAAAAGGCCAATTTGCATTGAAAAATTTACGTTGTTGTATAAAACATTTGTGTGCCTAGATACGTTTGATGTCTGAGTTCTGCCACTTCAGTTTAATAACAAAGTTGCGCCGAGCTGACTAAATAATTATGAAGCCGTGTGGAATGCTTAACTACTCACTACATTATTCCGTGTGTACTCGGCTGAGTGTATTACCGAGCCGTGTGCGCTCGGCCGTGTGCGTTATGCGTGGACTGTGAGGAAATAATCCAACGACTGTCGCCGTGGACAAATAGAGCAAATTATGTGGTAAATGACCGTCTCTCATGAGTGACCTGAAGCTGGAGAGTGAGGCACTAACCTGAAGCTTGGGGAAGAACGCCGGGAAGTCTGGCCGGAGAGCTGAGAGGTCGTTGTGCATGATGTTGAGCTCCCTGATGCCCCTGAGGGAGTGGAGCGTCCTGGTGGTGTTGACCAACTTGGCCACCACCTGCGGCGACCCGTACATCTCCAGCACCTGCAGGCCCTTCAGCGGGTCGAAGAGTGTGTCCGGGATGTGCACGGACAGCGAGTGGATGCGAGACATCTGCAGGACTCGCACGGACGTCAGTCCCGCCATGACGTCGGCCTCCAGCGTCAGTATCGGGTTCTGTGAGAGGTCCAGGGTCTCGAGGCTTGCTAGCCGGGAGAACACTCGACCCGTCAGGTTCGTCAACCGGTTGGCTTGTAGGTCGAGGGTCTTGAGGCTTGTTAGTTCGCAGAGCGCACACGGGGCGATGGCGGCGATGTGGTTGCGCTGAAGAAATAACTGCTCTAAGTTGGACTGGACTCTGAAGTCGCCCTCATGAAGTGCCGTTATGAGGTTCTCCTCGATGTAGACCGCACGGAGGGCGGGAGGAAGAGACAGGGGAATAGTTTTGAGCTTGTTGCCGTTGAGCCACAGACGAGCCAGGTACTCGTGGCGACCTAGCGCGTCCTCTTCCAGGACTTCCAGAGCGTTGTCGTCCAGGACTAAGAGACCAAGGTAAGGGTAAGAGTCCAGGTCGCCGCGATGAATCTCTCTGATGGAATTTTTAGCCAGGCGGAGGTCCCTGACGAACTGTGTGAGCGCCTGCGGCACCCGGCTGATGCCGATGTTGGAGACATCGATGTACTGCAGCCGAGAGCCGAAGAAGTCGAGTGTGGCGAGAGTAGCGAGGGGGTTGTTGGAGAGTATGAGGTGCGCCAGGCTGGTCAGGTGCTGGAACGCTGCCACCTCAACCCACACTATCTTATTGGCGTCAAGATTGACGTACTGAACCCGGTCTAGACCCTGAAACGTGTCTTGCGTCAGACTGACGAGAGCGTTGTCCCGCAGGTTGAGGTGCTGAAGCGTCGGCAAGTGAGTGAAAGGCTGGGTCAGGTTCGCTAGACGATTCGCCGACAAGTCCAGGTGTCGGAGCGATCTCAGACCGCGGAAAGAGTCAGGTCCGAGCACACCCAGACGGTTTTCCGACAAGTCGAGTCGGTCCAGCTCGGCCATGGCCGCGAAGGCATCATTGTAGAGTCTGGAGAGGTTGCACTGATTGAGCTGCAGCTCGCGGAGGCCAGGAAGGTGATGCAGCTGCGCAGCTCCCAGCTCCGGCACCAAGAAGCCGCGCAGCTCCACGCGCGTGAGACCAGCGGGCAGCGTCGGGGGTGCCCACTGTCCGTCACCCACACACGTGGCGTAGCCCGCCTGAGGGAACACCAGGTGACATTAGCCTTCATGGACACTATATTGTCACCACACAAGTATTGTCACCCCCATACGTACAGACACCCTATATGCATTGTCACCCCATAATTACAGTCACCTTACAAGTATTGTCACCCCATAATTACAGTCACCTTACAAGTATTGTCACCCCATAATTACAGTCACCTTACAAGTATTGTCACCTCATACGTACAGACACCCTACACGAATTGTCAACCCATTCGTACAGTCACCCTACATGTATTGTCACCCCCATATGTACAGTCACGCAACATGTACTGTCACCCCACACGTACTGTCACCCCACACGTACTGTCACCCAACACGTACTGTCACACCACACGTACTGTAACCTTACATGTACTGTCACCCCACACAGGAACTGTCACCCGACAGGAACTGTCACCCGACAGGAACTGTCACCCTACAGGTACTGTCACCCCATAGGTACTGTCACCCCACAGGTACTGTCACCCCACAGGTACTGTCACCCCCACACGTACTGTCACCCCCACACGTACTGTCACCCCCATATGTACTGTCACCCTCACACGTACTGTCACCCCCCACAAATACTGTCACCCCCACACGTACTGTCACCCCCACACGTACTGTCACCCCCACACGTACTGTCACCCCCACACGTACTGTCACCCCCACACTCACTCACACAGGTCGAGTAGGAACAGGGAACACGTGTGGGACCGCCCTCCTCGAATAAGTAGTCACAGCTCTGGACATGACAGTGATACGGATGAAAATCAGTGCGTAGTGACAGTACAAAGTGTAGCACAACGCATAGACCCTAGCAATTTAGGGTCTGTGTAAGTTTTTTGCGAAGTGAACAACCACAATAGGAGTACGACATCTGCGCCACGAGGGAGGAAACTTGGAGCCTGGCAGCGGTGTGGTCAACAACAACTACCCTTTGATGCTTCATACTCACCTAGTGTGCTCTGGTGGTTGAGCTGGCCGGTAAGAGCCTCTAGTGTCACTTAACGGTGTACAGTGATTTTAGTATAACAAATAGTTTTGGATATTAGCTAAAGAATGTAAAGAATCTTGATGTATACGGTTCATGTAGGTACTAGTTTTTCACACTAAAGTGTCACAAGACCACACCGCTAATCCCCCTAACCGCCCTCCATACACCACCCGCCACACACACACACATCCTCATTTCATTTCCTCCCTCTCTCCCGCGCTCTCCCTCTCTCGGTCTCTCACTCTCCTCTCCCTCCCTCCTGGCACCGGCTGACCCCCTCCGTACCACCCCCTCTCACCATTCATGCAAACACCCTCCCTCCCAACCTCCCTCCAACAACCCCACCCCCCAAACACTCGCCCCCTGACTCCCTCTTCTTCTCACCCCCCCTCACACACTCTCCCTCACTCACTCACACACACTCACACACATACACACACCCATCACTGGGACACAGAAGAGTTAGAGGGGACATGATCACCACATACAAGATTCTCAGAGGAATTGATAGGGTAGATAAAGGCAGACTTTTTAACACAAGGGGCACACGCACTAGGGGACACAGGTGGAAATTGAGTGCCCAAATGAGCCATAGAGACGTTAGAAAGAATTTTTTCAGTGTCAGAGTAATAGACAAATGGAATGCATTAGGAAGTGATGTGGTGTAGGCTGACTCCATACACAGCTTCAAGTGCAGATATGATAGAGCCCAATAGGCTCAGGAACCTGTACACCAGTTGATTGACGGTTGAGAGGCGGGACCAAAGAGCCAGAGCTCACCCCCTGCAAGCACAATTAGGTAAGTACCATTAGGCAATTAGGGAAGTACAGTCACACACACACACACACACACACACACACACACACACACACACACACACACACACACACACACACACACACACACACCCTTCCCTGCATGCACACAAAAAGTCAGGGTAGGTAATTTGTCACACATTTGTGAGAAGGGCATGGACACCTGACTTTCCCTTCACACTCCCACACTCTCCAAAACACTGGCCCCTCCTTCTCCCACTACACTTCCCTTTTCTCTCTCTCTCTCTCTCTGCTCCCTCTCTCTCTCTCTGCTCCCTCTCTCTCTCCCTTTGCTCTCCCTCTGTCTCTTCACCCCCCCCCCTGCCTAACTCTTATCAAAACATATCAGGGAAAGGGACAAGATGGCAGGAGGACGCAACAGGGGACACAGGGTATAGTCAGAGTGACCAAACGAAGGAAATGTTAGCCCAAGTTATGGAGGAATTCAGGAGGGAAATGCATGAAATGTGGAATACAATTAACAATCTGCAAAGTGACCTGACAACAGCAAGGGAGGAGATCAAATCCCTCACAGAGAAAAATAATGAGGCTTAGCATCAGATTATCATCCAAAGGGAAGGTGGGAATGTTGCACTGGAAGGAAATGCCTCTATTCCTTAAACATTTGTGGAAATACTGAGAAAGAGCTTAGAAGCAATGAACACAGTGTGTTCAATGTGCTCACAACAATGTGAGGGAGGTAGCCATGCAAGCAGCCACATTACAGGAAGCAGCATGGTGCACCAGTCAGCTGCTGGAAAGAAAAAAGATCAGTGGTAGTTTTAGGCATCAAGGAACAGGAAGGATCCAATAGGCAGGAATGGAATAGCAAGGACAGAGAGGCAGTACATGGGATACTGAAGGGGTTACAGATGGAAGGGGCTGAACAAAACATTGTGCAGGTTTTCAGGTTGGGTTGATACAACAAGGACAGAAACGGACTGGTAAAGGTGGTGTTTGCAAATAAGACCATGAAGGAGGAAGGGAAGAAAGGAAGAGTAATCTGCATTATGTGGAAGAATACAAAAAAGTATTAATCCAGAGGGACAGGACGAAGGAGGAGAGAGCCAGGACAGCAGAGACAAGGAGGAAGTGCAGGGAGAGAGGAGTAAACCCAGAAATCATAGCCCCCAACACAACATTCCCAGAGACAAGAGGGGAACCCACAACCAGCATCCCACCAACACCAGAGGGGAGGGTAACACCACCACCCCCCTCTGCATAGAAACCCTCCCTTCCCCTGACCCTACCCGTCACCACTGAAATGTTCACCCCCCCTCACAGCTTTCCGACCCTGTCACCCCTCCCCATTCCCTCCATGTCCCCCTCCCCTCCCCCCTTTCCCTCCTGTCCCCCTCCCACTTCATCCCATACCCTCCATATCCCTCCTTCCCCCTCACCCCGTATCCTCCATGTCCCCCCTACCTCCTTACCCCATACCCTACCTGCCCCTCTTCCCTTGAACCCCCACCCCCCACCCTGCAATCCTCTGAGACCCTGCAAACCACCTCCCAGTTCTTCACACCCAGGGAACAGCTTCCTCCACCAGCAGAACGCTCAGCAAGGAAATGAACAGAAGAAAGTGAGCTTCAAGGCAATGTACACTAACATAGATGGGATTACAAATAAAACAAGTGAACTCGGAGAATGGGCACTAGAAGAAAACCCAGACATAATAGTGAGGAAAGAGAGAGAAAGGAGAGGAGGAGGTGGTGTATCTTTGCTGATAAGAAAAGGTTGGAGTTTAGAAGAGGTGGTTAATCAGTGCTGTGAAGGTTTTAGTGTCTACATATCAGGCACCATAGCAACTGGAGGACAGAAAATTATAGTAGTAGTCATATATAACCCCCCACCAAACGACAGAAGACCCAGACAGGAATATGATAGAAACAACATGGCCACCATCAACATACTAGAGAGAGCAGCTTCTGAAGCTAGCAGGAACGGATCCAGACTACTAATCATGAGAGACTTCAACCATGGGAAGATAGATTGGGGGAACAGAGACCCACATGGAAGACCAGACACATGGAGAGCTAAGCTGCTGGACGTAGCAACAAGAAACTTTCTATGTCAGCACCATAAGGGACTGACAAGAATGAGAGGAGAGGATGAACCAGCTTTGCTTGATCTGATATTTACCCTAAATGAGTCGGATATAAGGGAAGTTAAGTTGGAAGCCCCCTTGGGAATGAGTGATCATAGTGTATTGAGCTTTGAGTACCTGGTTGAGCTAGGAATTTTCTATCCCAGAAAAGAACTGGGAAACAAATTGCTGGCGTACCGAAAGGGAAACTATGAGGAGATGAATAAATTCGTAGTGGATATACCATGGGACACAGAACTCAGAACTAAGTCCGTACAAGACATGATGGACTATGTCACCCAAAAGTGTCAGGAGGCAGTAAACAGGTTAATCCCGACCCGACAGGAAAAAAACTGAGAAGCAAAAGAAGAATCCGTGGTATAATAGGGAATGTATGGAAGCAAAGGAACTGAACAAAAGGGCGTGGAGAAACTTCCATAATAACAAAACACCAGAAAGTAGAGAGAGATACCAGAGAACCAGGAACTAGTATATTAGTGTGAGAAGAGCAGCTGAGAAAAGGGATGAAAATGATATAGCTAATAAAGCCAAGTCCGAACCAAAACTACTACACAGTCACATCAGGAGGAAAACGGCAGTGAAGGAACATGTGATGAAACTTAGAACGGGTGAGGACAGGTACACAGAGAATGACAAAGAGGTGTATGAGGAGCATCAAGAGGTTCCAGGAGGTCTTTACAACAGAACAAGTAGAGGTCACGGTGCTAGGAGAGGTGGCAGCAAACAAGGCGACCTTGGAAGGGTTCGAATTTACAAGAGAAGAGGTCAAGAGGCACCTATTGGAGCTGGATGTGAGAAAGGCTGTTGGGCCATACGGAGTCTCACCATGGGTAGTGAAAGACTGCGCAGGAGCACTTTGTTTGCCACTCTCAATAGTGTACAGTAGGTCACTGGAAGCGGGAGACATACCAGAAATATGCAAAACGGCTAATGTAGTCCCAATATACAAAAAGGGTGACAGACAAGAGGCACTGAACTACAGGCCAGTGTCCTTAACTTGTATACCATGCAAGGTGATGGAGAAGATTGTGAGAAAAAACCTAGTAACACATCTGGAGAGAAGAGACTTCG